TTCAGAGCACTCATATAATCCCTGGCAGACACCAGGTATGCAAATACATATTTAATATGTGTTAATTTAATAAATGTAAATATGTAATAAAACAATTTTTATAGCCACGTAAATCTGACAGCTACAATAAAGTCTTCTGCCTGGTGTAGTTCCGTGGGTTGGTGTACTGGACTGTGCAGTCAGTTTAAACCATAGAGTCAGTGATTCAGGCTCACCAGCCACTCCTTGAAAACCCTATGCAGGGTTGCTATGGGTCAGAACCAACTTAACAGCACTTAACAACAGTAAGACTCTATGGAAAAGTTGACCTTGAATTTGATCTTGAAGGATGGGTAGAATTTAGACAGGAGGACGCCAAAGATCTAACTTTTTTTCTGTGGGGTGGATATCAAGTTCAGTATTAGGCTAATACAAGGTATATTCATGCCAAACTGAGTCAGTCAGTCTGTAGGAACATGTTTCTTGATAAGGGAGAAATGTTTAGGAAATAAAAGATTAAAGCCTGGCTTTAGAAGGTCAGACAAAGAAACATGAGTGCTGTATATAGAAAGGATTCCTTGTTTGGCACTGTATGATCAGCAGTTCAAACCCACTAGCAGCTCCTCGGATATCCTATACAGGGTCACTGTGAGTCAGAATTAACTTGATGGCACTTAACAAAAACAACGTGTATAGAAAAAACATTCCTGGTGTAGGGTAAGCACTCAGCTGCTAATCATACAGTTGGTGATGTAAACTCACCAGCCACTCCCTGGAAACCACACACAAGGTGGCTATGAGTGGGATCCTACTCGACGGCACTTACCAACAGAAACAACATGTATAGAAAAATAAACAGATTCCAATGCTACAACACCTCACACTTTATTCTAGCTAAATGCCTTATGTCTTATTGGGAGCCATCAACTAAATTAAAGAGTCCTGATGAGCGATTCCTGCTTGTCATTCCCCACAACTCTCACGCCAGTGTCTTGAATGGCTAAATATTGACAGGCTAAGTCCACTAGAGCCAAAATATGGCCTTGAATATATCCCAGCTGAATTTAGAGATCATGTGAAGAACAAATTTGATACATTAAACACTAAAGACCAAAGACCAGAAGAGTTGTGAGACGACATCAGGAACATCATACATGAAGAAAGCAAAAAGTCGTTAAGAAGACAAGAAGGAAGGAAAAGGTCAAAAGAGATGTCAGAAGAGACACTGAAACTTGCTCTCCAGCGTAGAGATGCTAAAGCAAATGGAAGAAATGAGGAGGTCCAAGAGCTAAACAGAAAATTTCAAAGATCACCTTGAGAAGATAAAGACAAATATTAAAACAAAAGGTGCAAAGATCTGGAGTCAGAAAACCAAAAAGGAAGAACACACTCAGCATTTCTCAAGCTGGGGGAACTGAAGAAAAAATTCAAGCCTTGAGTTTCGTTATTGAAGGATTCTCTGGGCAAATTACTGAATGATGCAGAAAGCATCAAGAGAAGATGGAAGGAATACACAGAATCATTGTACCAAAAGGAAATGGTTAATGTTCAACCGTTTAAACAGGTAGCATATGATCAAGAGCCAATGATACTGAAGGAGGAAGTCCCAGGTGCATTGAAGGGATTAGCAAAGAACAAGGCACCAAAAAGTCATGGAATAAAATTGAAATCTTTCAAGAAAGTAAGGCGGCACAGGAGGCACTCACTTATCTATACCAAAAAATTTGGAAGGCAACTATCTGGCTGACTGATTGGAAGAGATCCGTATTTGTGCCCATTCCAAAGGAGGTAACCCAACAGAATGTGGAAATCATCAGACCATCTCTTTGATATGCCATGTGAGTAAAGTTTTACTAAAGGTAATACAGAAACGGTTGCAAGCATACAGTGACAGAGAACTTCCAGAGGTTCCAGCCGGATTCAGAAGAGGCCATGAACGAGGGATATCATTGCTGGTGACTGATGGATCTTGGCTGAAAGTAGAGAATATCAGAAAGATGTTTACCTTTGCTTTATTGACTATGCAAAGGCTTTTGATTGTGTGGATCATGACAAGCTATGGACAACATTGCGAAGTATGACTATTCCGGAACACTTACTTGTGCTCATGAGGAATCTATACCTGGACCAAGAGGCAGTTGTTCAAACAGAACATGGGAACACTGAAGGGTTTAAAATTAAGAAAAGTGCGTGACAGGATTGTATTCTTTCACCAAACTTATTCAACCTGTATGCTAAGCAAATAATCCAAGAATCTGGGTTATATGAAGAAAAACGTGGCATCAAGACTGGAGGAAGACTCATTAACAACCTGCAATATGCAGATGATACAACCTTGCTTGCTGAAAGTGAAGAGGACTTAAAACATTTACTGATGAAGAACAAAGAGCACAGCCTTCAGTATGAATTGCATTTCAATGTAAAGAAAACAAACATCCTCACCACTGGACCAATAAACAACATTCTTATCAAAGGAGAAAAGATTGAAGTTGTCAAGGACTTCATTCTTCTTGAATCAACCATCAACACTCACGGAAGCAGCAGTCTAGAGATCAAACGACATATTGCATTAGACAAATCTGCTGCAAAAGACCTTTTTAAAGTGTTGAAGAGCAAAGATGTCAGCTTGAGGATTAAGGTGCACCTGACCCAAGTCATGGTATTTTCATTAACCTCATATGTTCATGAAAGCTGGACAGTGAATAAGGAAGACCGTAGAATAATCTATGCTTTTGAGTTATGGTGTTGGAGAAGAATATTGAGAGTGCCATGGGCTGCCAAAAGAACCAAGAGATCTGTGTTGGAAGAAGTGCAGCCAGAGTGCTCCTTGGAGGCCAGGATGGACAAACTTCGTCTCTCATACTTTGGACATATTGGCAGGAGGGAACAGTCTCTGAAGAAAGATACCGTGTTTGGTTAGGTGGAGGGTCAGATAAAAAGAGGAAGACCCCCAATGAGATTGGTTGGCCAAGTGGCAGCATCGATGGACTCAAGTGTGGCAACAGTAGTGAGGTTGGCCCAGGATCGGGCACTGTTTCGTTTTGCTGTGCATAAGGTCGCTATGGGTCGGTACCGACTCGATGGCACCTAACAACAACAACGATTAGGCTTAAAAAGCCATACACAGAATTAAACTAGTAAAGATGATCGCAATGCCTTTCTAAGTAGCCAGTAAGATTTTGTCTCTTGTTTTTACAGGAACTCCAATACCAAAACCAAAGCACATGGGAAATATATGTTGGTTTTCTAGAATCTGCTGCTTTCTTCTACACTGAGAATATTTTCTTTTAACGTAGATTATTTAGGGATTAACAAAGAAGTAAAACAAGACTGTGTACGTATTGTCAAAAGCCATCTCATCCAGTTAATATATCATACTATACCAGTATCACATAGATAAGGCATTGTATTACTGCTGAAGGTAGAAATTACTTTTTAAAAAATTATAACTATTAAAAACAATTGACTGTATTTCAGTTTCTGAATGTCATCACTGTTCACATTTTGGCCAAGATAATTCTCAGCTGTGGAGAGTACTTCCATGAACCATAGGCTATCCATGTCTACCTACTAGACACCAGTTGTTGTTGTTGTTGATAAGTGCCTTTGAGATGGTTCCAACTCATAGTAACCCTGTATATGGAGCAGCTAGTGAGTTTGAATCATGGACCTTGCAGTTCAAACTCATCTGCTTTATCCCACAGCACTACACCAAACACCAGTAGCAACAATCATAAATGTCTCCAGATATTGCCAAATGTCCCTTGGTAATGAAAAATGGCCCCTGGTTGAGAACCACTGCTACATTTACAAATATGAATTAATCCATTACTTATTCTATGGATACGTATCCAGTCAATCCTGAAATATACTTACATTCGGAGATCCATAATTCTTAAAGTACTATCTTTAGTATGGATTAACAAACGTTTTCCATTGGGATGAACTTCCAAGTAACTTATTGGAATTCCTTTAAACTCACTTTCTTTAATTTCCTAAAATTAGTTAAAACAAACAAACAAAAAAAAAAACCATAAAACACCACTATCAAGAAGTCTGTCACTTCTGAACCTTTAGAATTAATTTTAAGAAGTTATTTTCTATTTGGCTGTACAACTATAAGCAAATGGATCATAAGTACTTCAGTTCAGAGTTGAAAATAAATCTGCACAAATTTTCCTTTCTGTTGATATGTAATACCTTATCTAAGTAGTGTTTCTACAGTGTATTCACTTTCCCAATATTAGTTCCAAAACTATACATAAGCTCCTCCAACAGACCTTTAGCATAACATTCTATTCTTAGTTTATCAGCATATAAGAAACCTTCTGGCTTTGCTTCCATTTATTTCCTTATATATTTTATTGTATTTTTGGTGAAAGTTTATGAAGAAAGTCTGGTTCCCCTTTAACAATCTCTAAAGAACTACTCAGGGACACGGGTTACATTTTCCAGTATGGCAGCAGTATCATTTCCACACTGGCCATTCCACTGCAGTTAATGTAGCGTCTCTGCTCCCTTCCCCTCCCTCCAACCCCAACCTTCTCATCTTTGTAAGCGTAAATGGCGCTCATTTGGAACAAAGGACTGATAGGTGACAGTTTACTTTATAAGCCAATCTGTTGGTTAGCTGGGAGGTCACCTCAGGGAGTAGCTTTAGTTCAGAGCCTGAAGAGTATCTCAGCGTAGTCTTCTTGGACTCCTCTAGTCTTTACTGGTCCATTAAGTCTGGCCTTCTTTAAATTTCAGTTTGGTTTTCTCATTTTCTCCTACTCTTTCCAGGACCATCTACTGTGCCCTGAATTGATCAGAATGGTTATTGCCAGTTCTTCTGGTCTCAAGACAGGTGAGGCTGTGGTTAGTGTAGGCAATTATTCCTGTACCTTCCAATGTTATAAATTCAAAAGTAAGTACAGAATTAACTTTCAAATTCCACCCCAGTCTTAAATTCTTTAGGGAGATATGCCCATTTGTCCTCATCCTGGAAGAGGTAAACTAGTAGAACATTATCCTGAAACAATTTAATTTAGCTTGTAAATTTAGTTTTTGGCAGCTAAAGATGTCCAACAACTGACGTCAAGAAAGACATAAATTCTGACTGGATACCTATGTGTTCAAAGCCTTCCATGGGGAGAATTACCATATGCTCTTCTTGTTTGGATTACTGAGAGAAAGAAAAAAAAAAGTTGCAAATGCAAAATTGCTTATAGTGAAGGCCTCAGAGGGAAAGGAAAGACGACTTTAACCTGCAGGCAGAATTCTGCATTAGCCTTCTGGTTCCAGGGATCCCCTCTTTGCTTTGTGCCCCCTTTTCCTAGAGGGTCTTCTTGTCACAGGTGGGCTGGCACTAGCACGGTGTGCTACAACGTTGCTGCAGTGCTCAGAGCAGCAGCTGAAGCTCTGCTACAGCTGTTTAGTACAGAGACCTGCTGTCAGCTATTTAAAGCATTCTAGGGAAAAGTCAAGCACTGACAGCACAGATGGGGATTTCACTGAGCTGCACGATGACAATCCGGGGAGGGGAGAAGCACCGTTGGGGGTCTGAGCAACTGGAGCAACACTTGCACAGATGCAAATGCGCAAAATCAAAACCAAAACTGAGTAACAAGTTAAGTGTTAGGTGCAAATTTGAGAAAGTTGCTGGCAGAGCTGGTGTTTGTAGTATCCGTTAGTGTTTTTTTTTTTTTCTTTATTATACTCATATTCATTTTAAGAATAATAAAAAGTTTTGTTTTGAAACCAGTGACCTGGTCCAAGTAGTGGGGCAAGCACATGGACACTTCATTCTCAAAAGAGACAGACGAGTATGATAGCCCTCCCCACTGGTACCAGGGATAAATGAAGTCAGTCTCTAGTTTATCTTCTGGCATTCAATGATCCATTGCTACAAATACAACCAAGCCTGTTTTATCTCCTTGCCTTTCATTTTTGACCACCTCAAGTATCATCAGGACACTGATTTTCAAGGTATACATGTCCTCTGGTTAATATACTATGGGACATATAAACTCATGATATTTACAACAAATACAATGCTCTAAATAATATAATCAAATAATTAGAAATAGTGCCTTTGGAGCCCTGCCAATCCCTTAGGTTTACAAGTAATTAAACTGGTTTTTTTTCAAAGTGTGTAAAATTAGGGTAAAACAAGACATCATTCATTATCTGACAGAACAGATGGGAATGACTAAAAATTAGAATGTTTTTAAAACACATTTGAAAGACTTACTAGATTTAACTAAAGTTCATGAAAACTCTTTACATTTAGAGTGTCATCTTCAAACTAGAACAACTATTGTTATAATCTATTATGAAGCACTGAAGAACAAAGGTTTCATTTATAAGGTAGAAACTATATTAATTTATAGAAAACAAATTCAAGCTTTAATGATTATTCTATTTTTCAACCAAATGTAAAAAAACAAAACAACATATATATATAACTATGTAAAATACAGCCAGTTTTAAGAAAAACTCTATGCATAGAATGAAAGAGATTATTTGCTTCTGTGTAGCAAATTTCAAATGAAACAATCATTGTGATTCAATAAGAAAACTCAATCAGAAAGACATAATTCTAGAAGACAACACTGCTGAAAAAGTGCTGAGCACAGTATGTTTACGGAGATGCTATTAAGTCAAGAAGAAAAGATATGAACAGCAGATAATGCTGTATTACTTATTGACATAGTATGGTGTGGCGTGCTGTAGGATTTGGACTCGACTGTTAACTGCAAGGTCAGTGGTTCAAACCCATCAGCTGCTCCCAGCAGACCCTATACCGGGTTAATATGAGTCAGAGTCAAATCGATGGCACTTAACAATAATAATGTAGCTCATTTTTAGGCATACATTTCATCCAATTAATCAATAAATGCAGGAGTACAGATTGGAGCCCAAATCCTGAAGGTAAAGATTGATAAACTCAATAACAATTTCTGTAGGTCACACCCATCAGCAGTTTGCTTTCAGGAAGGCACAAGAATTGACTTCTCAGGGGCAGAGAAAAACTATTTTTTTTTTTTTTCAAAGAGAGACTAGCACGTCCTGACATTAATTTTAAAGTCCCCAAAGGTGGAATAGAGCTTTATACCTTATTTACGCTCCAGTGGCGCACTGAATGCTGCAGGTCATTCACTTTGACGTAGGTGTTCCAAACAACAATCACCCCCATGCAGTCTCCAGAGTACATGTGATGACCTGTTTCAAAGAATGCTCACTGATGAATGTTGCAGAGTCAGAAACAAGTAAGATGAAGTTGAAGAAACCACATCCCAGTAAAACAAAGAATCGCAGGTAAAAAAACAAACATAAAACACAGCTTATATTTAATTCTCAATGATCTTCCAATGAATTCTTTACACTTTGGAATTATTTCTGATGATTTATATTCTTTTACCATTTCCCTGAATTTGAATACAAAAAGAAATGAGCATCTCTTTCCATATGTTTATGGTCCATACTGCAAAGTCAAACAACTCAATTGATAATCTAATACGTATCTGTTGTCACTTATCTTTATTAACCAATATAATCTCCTTTACACTGCTGGGAAAACACCCATATTCTAATACATATCAGCAGCATGATATCGGAGACCAGTTGGAACTCAATAAATAATCAGAAAATAAACACAAATAACAGGTGTTACGGGTTAGCATTAAGTCATAAACTATCTTACAGCTCTAAGGGACTTCAGTGACCATCAAGTTCAACTTCTTACCCACACAGGAATATCTTATAGAGAATTACTATTAGGCAGTTGATCAGAAACTGTAAATTTAGTATGTTACACAGTCGCTTGTTCTATTGGTAAACCATTCTATGGACCAGAATGTTCTAATTCTAGGTAAAGAAAATCTAATTTCTGGAGCTTTGGCCCTACCTCTACTCTTTGGAGGAACTCAGATGGATTCCCCTCTTTTCACATTTCAACTATTTGACTGTAAGACTGATAGTTTATGGTCAAATTGTTGAAGAAATTCTCCATTCTTTTTATGATCCATGAGTTACTTCTATTATGATAGTATTTTTAGACACTTTTCTCTTCTTGGTTAGCCTTTTCTGAATGTTTTCCAAAGGAGCTCTAGTAGCATAGTGGTTATGAGTTGGGCTGCTAAGCTCAAGGTCAGCAGTTTGAAACTACCAGAGGTTCTATGGGAGAAAGATGAGGCTTTCGGCTCCCATAGAGATAAACAGCCTTGGCAACCCTATGCCTGGTTGCTATGACATGCCACCACAAAAACCACAGTTGAATTAAGGAATCTGAGTGGAACAGAGGGTTAAGCATTGGTCTGCTAACCACAAGTAAGTGGTTCAAACCCATTAGCTGCTCCGCAAGCATAAGATCAGGCTGTTTGCTCCAATAAAGATTTGTTGTTGTTAAATGTCACTGAGTCGGTTCTGACTCACAACGACCATGTTCAGGGGTTCCGAGGAGCAGCTGGTAGATCTGAATCACCAACCTTTCAATGAGCAGTTTACTGCTTATCCTACAGCACCACACCAGGACTCCTGGTCTATCAATGTTGTAGTTACGTGCCATGGAGTCGGTATCAACCCATAGCAACCTTATGCACAACAGAACTAAACACTGCCCTATCCTGGGCCAACCTAACTATTGTTGCCACGCTTGAGTCCATCGATGCTGCCACTTGGCAAATCCATCTCGTTCGGGGTCTTCCTCTTTTTCTCTGACCCTCC